AGGAGGGCTCCCTTGGTTATACTTAGTGCTGACCCTTTCTTTGAGCATTATTAGGTAGACAAGTTAAAATAAAATTAATATATATATATCCCTTCCTTTCTGTGTGGGCATGTTATTGCAGGGGGATTTTGTGTGGTGTAAATAAAACCACCAGTTTTGTTATTCTGTGTTAAAAAAAAAAAAGTAATAATTACGTTTGCTTGAAAGGGGCACCCATTAGGGTAGCATTAATTACATTAAATCCTTTAATTCCTTGCCTGCTGCATCTGTATCAGTCCCAACTCTTTACCCTGCTTGGCTGAGCCACAGCTACCACTCACAGTTTTCATATATAAGCAGGCTCTCTGGAATTGATAGAAATGAAGGTTTCTCAACAGATTAAATATTGGTGATCAAGAGGCTCATCAGGCAGTTCTGAAGGTCCCGTCGCAGGAGCTGCAGACCTGCCAATTTAAGTCACAGCTGAAAGTTCGTTTTTGAGGTCTATATCCACTTTTTTAATTTTTTTTTCCCGAAAAGGAAGAGAAAACTTCAAACTTCAGCACGTTCTGCTCCCACACTAATTTTACAGGTCTCTTCCAGCAAGACAACCCCATGCTCTCTTTCTGCTGGCCCTGCTCCTGCCAGCAACAGATTTACACCAGACATTAAATGCACACAATTGATAAGGAGAGTTAAATCTATCTGCCTCCTGTCTAGCAGTTGGATATTTTTATTCTTTGACGCAGAATGGCTTTTTTGATCAGAAATCTCCCTAATGAACAGGATGGCATCTGGATGGGTTAACTCAAGTGACTCGCTTTTTAATTCACACGTTTACGCTGGCCCCTAAACGCTGCGGCGGGTCCTGCCCCTAACTCCCAACTTCAGCGAATCCGCCCCAGGGCCAAGACACTCCTCTGCCACTTTTGGCCTTGCCGAGCCCAGGAAGACCATGGACCAGGGAAGGGAGCAGGTGAAGGCTGCCCCCTTCTGCCAGGTGTCCCCCTTTCCCCCAGCAGCCGGTGGGTCCGGATGGGGACGGCACAGACACCCGAGCACTCAGAGCCATTACGGATGCAGCGTTTATGCAGGCGGCCCAGTCAGCCCTGGTCTCGCAAGGCCTGTACAGAGGAGCCGAGCGGGGCCGCACCAGGGCCAGGACAAGGCAGTGGCTACGGTGCGGGGCAGGGCGGGACAGGGGGGGCGGTGCGTGCGGCGGCGCCGGGGCCCGGCTGCGGCGCAGGGCTCTCCTTGCATGTCCCCGTGTGGGACGGGGGCTCCATAGAGCGCTTCCAAGAGGTGTTAAATACATCTGGACATTCAAGCGGGGGGTTGGCCGTGTGGTCACCTGGCCAAGGGCAGTGTCACCCCCAACCACCCCATGGTGAGCCCTGGCCTGTATGGGCCCAGCAGGAGCTGGCAGGGGCCTCAGCGTTCCTGGCCCATGCAAGTCCGGGCCCAGGTGGATGGAGAAGGGCTGAGAACCCTTCTCAGTGCTCAGTGTGGTGAGGACAAGGTGACAAATCTGAGCTCCTGAGTGTGCGCACCTTGTGCAGGGCTCAGGCAGGAGCCCGCATGCCAGGAGCAGGTCTGGGTGCCAGGGCTGCGATGTCCTCAGGACCCTGGGACACAGGGATGTGGGCAGGGAAGCGCCCTTGGCTCCTTGCCGAGCCCAAGGTCCTTCGAGTCGGCCCTGGCTCTCAGCGGGGCTGCAGAAGGAGCCTGCGCCGTGGCCAGGATGGGCAGTGCTGGGGCATCAGGGCTCGGGGCTCCGGGGAATTGGGTGAGGACAGGGGTCCTTGTCACCACGCCAGGCACCGGGTCTCACAGGATAGACGCTGCTTCCCGAGCACTCAGGAGGGGACAGGAGGGATCCAGCTCACCCGCCACACACGGCCGGCAGCCAGGAGGATGCGCGAGCGTTGCGGTCCCCCCTGGACAGTGTCACACATGGAGAGCAGACCTGGCCCCGGTGGCTCTCACTGCAGGCGAGACTGGGGCGAGCGGGGAGTTTGGGCCTTGCCTGCATAAGGGGGGCAAACGCTTCGAGCGCCATGGTGGCCCCGAGGCCCCGTCCTCTGCAGTGTCATCTCTTGGCCTCGTCGGCGTCGGGCAGCTCCGCGGCGGGCTGGGCGCTCGGCTGCACGGCCGTCACTGTCTCCTCCAGGCTGCCGCTGGGGAACACCACGTAGCGGGCGCTGACGCGCTGCGCCTTGGGCTCCCGCAGGTTCTCCTTGCTGTGCCAGATGCCGTAGCCGAAGTACACGAGCAGCCCTGGAGCAGGAGACACAGAGACGCGGCGAGAGCTCCGAGGGGCCCGCAGTGCCCGGCACACGCCCGGGATGCAGCCACACGTCCCGCACCCCGAGAGAGCAGCCCTGAGAGAGCACCCCGAGAAACAGGGCCCCCGGGGCCTGGTCACTGCCTCATTGCCACCCCAGCCCCTCTCCAGGGCCTTTCCGTGCTCTCTGTTCGCAGGAGCTCGTGCTCCAGCTGCCCATAGGAGGCCCCTTGATGTGGTATCTGCCCTCTTCACAGAATCCCAGAATGGTTGAGGTTGGCAGGGACCTCTAGAGATCATCCAGTCCAATCCCCTGCTCCAGCAGGGACACCCAGAGCATGGGGCACAGGGTGGCATCCAGGCGGATTTGAAGATCTCCAGAGAAGGAGACTCCACAGCTTCTCTGGGCAGCCTGTGCCAGGGCTCTGCCATGGTCACTGCCTCTTGCTGTCCCTCTCCAGGGAACCAGACCTTCAGCAAGGTCCTGGAGCAGACTCAGGCACTCCTTGTTGAAGAGCTGGATGTACTTAAGATGGAGGAAAAAAGCTTCTCTCTTTCTCAACCAGTCACAGCACCAGCACATGGAATCACAGTCAGCATCTTGACCATCTCAGATAAGGACTGGAGATGGTCATGTGCGGTTGGAAGGTTTACAGAGGAAGAAATCAGTCTTCCAGGTAAACACAAGCTTGAGAGCCTCATCCCAACTGCACTCAAGGCACTAGACCCAAGTGCAGAAAAACAAAAATCAAGGACATGGGGTCAAATGTAACATGCTCCCTGAGGGTGGACTGTGCCGTCCGGCAGCCTTGCCTTGCTCGAGGACATGATCTGCCTGGAGCAGAGGAAAGAGGGATCTCCTCTGTCTGGATCCCAGCAATCTGTCTGCACAAGCTGCCAGTGCAGGAGAGGAAGAAGCAGCTCTATAGAAAGAACCAAAGGGGCTGTATGTGATGAGGAAAGCTTAAAACCAGCTCACTGCAGAAGGAAAATCTTCCAGTAGCTCACAGCAAGCAGAGCACATCCAGTCCCCAGGTGCATCAGGAGAAACACCTTGTATGGAGACAGGGAGCTCCAGATGACTTTATCAGCACAGGCCAACCGCCTCTGCAACAAGCTGTAGCTCTGCTCCAGCGCTCTGACAAAGGAAGACCCAAATAGCACAGGAGCAAAGGTGCAACAAGCCAAGGGAACCAAGGAGTAGCAGAAAGACCAAGGCAGACAGTGGGTATGAGGCACTTTGTAAGTCCTATAAATGGTGAGGAAGAGAGCTGTTGAAGCCACCGGACATGGCTGGCATAAGAGACCAAGCTGAGAGGAAGGAGATCCCTGCTAACCCTCTCGTCCTGCTGTCGGATTGCTCTGAGCACATTCTCCGGAGCTCTGCACACAGGCTCGGCACTGGACGTGTCGCTCTCTCCTCCTTGAAAGAGCCCCAGGAGTGGCTCTCACCCCAGGAGTTTATACCCTTGTAGAAGTACTCACCTATGATCAGCCAGATGGCGAACCGGAGCCACGTCATGTAGTTGAGCTTCAGCATGAGGTATATATTCAGGACAATGCTCAGGGCTGGGGACAGGGGCACCAGGGGTATCTGCAAGAAAAACAGATCGAGTGAGAAGACACTGACCTGCAGCAGTAAATACCGAGGACAAAGTGACCTGAACCGCAGTCACCGGGGCTTTCTGCAAACTGCTGAAGACAGCCAGAAGAAAGAACACGACAAGTGTCTAGTCAACACGATGGTCATGGGGTGCTCAGGAGCTCCAGAAATACCTGGGGTCTCTGTAACAAGGACCAAACCTCTCCAGGCCTTCCCCAGCACCACCTTCCTGGTGACACGGACCAGGGTCATGTCTGTCCTCCTAGACACAGCATGGCACCCCCCACACATCCCAGTACCCACAACACTGAGTCCCTTTCAGAGCCACTGCTCCTCCTTGACCAACCCTAACTGTTCCTTACCTCTCTGCACCCCCTGTCCCTGGCATCCAGCTGTACACAGCTGTGATCTCCTTACCAACACCTCCCCACACTCACTGCTCTCCAATGCTCTCCTCCTCTTTGTCCCTTCTTCAGTTACTGCAGGTATTTTACCCTGTGGCCACTGAGGCCACCCATGGGTCCAGCAGAACTGCTCCGCCCTGCCGACCCTGGCAGAGGGGCAAGTTCTGCCATCCCGCAGGACAGCCTCCACCGTACCTGGAAGGTCTGCGTGCTGCGCTGCTGCTCGTGGGCCCAGATGAGGAGCAGGCTGAGCAGGAAGCCCAGGCTGAAGAGCACCAGCAGCAGGGAGTAGCTCCAGGTGGGCAGGTGGAGGTGGGTGTTGCCGAACACCAGGACGGAGCACAGGCAGATGGCAGACACCATCATGGTGACCACAGCGATGGTGACCACCTCGCCTGGGTAGAAGTCGCTGAGGAACTCCAGGTAGGGCTCAAAGGCGGCCTTCAGCTGCCCCGGCTCCCGCTGCTCCTTGCTCTTGTCTCCATCCACCAGCTGGAGCTTGTCGGAGAAGGACTCGTACTCCTTCAGCTCGCCGGCGGCCGGGCCCTCGCCGGGCTCCGCACTGGGCTGCTGGACAGCCGGCCGCGCAGGAACATCCACCTTCTGCTGCTGGAAGCGCAGCACGATGATGCTGGCGGCCACAAAGGTGTAGGCCAGCAGTGTGCCAATGGACAGGAACTGCACCAGGGCCTCCAGGTCAAACACGAGGGCCAGCAGGGCCATGAGCCCCCCAAACACCACAATGCCAATGACGGGCACCTGCGTACGGGGGTGCACCCGCGAGAACACCTGGAAGAAGAGCCCGTCCTCTGCCATGGCATAGACGATGCGCGGCAGGGAGAAGAGGTTGCTCAGCAGGACCGTGTTCATCGCTGGGGAGAGACAGAGAGCAGGGCCCTGCGTCAGATGTGACGCACGGCCCGAACGCCCCGGGATGCCCCGCTCACACCTGCAAACCCCGGGGGAAGGAGCAGCTCCCGCCCCGCGATGCCCACCACCACCCCCTATACTCACCACAGATGGAGCCAGCGGCCACCAGGAATCCTGCCCATGAGTAACCCCTCCGGTAAAACGCATCCGCCAGGGCGGAGTCGGGGTCCAGCGTGTACCAGGGCACCATCAGTGTCAGCACCATGGACACAAGGATGTAGGCGCCAGTGGCCAGCCCCAAGGAGAAGGCTATCGCTCTGGGCACAGCCCGCTGTGGGTTCCTGGCCTCCTCGCTCGACGCCGCTATAACATCGAAGCCCACAAAGGCGTAGAAGCAGGTGGCTGTTCCAGCCATGATGCCCGACAGCCCGAACGGGGCAAAACCCCCTTCCGGAGCGCTCCAGTTCTTGGGCTGTGCAAGGATGAAGCCCATGATGAGAATGAAGAGGATGACACCCATGCTGATGGCCGAGAAGACATGGTTGAGCCATGAGGAAACCTTGGCCCCGAAGGAGATGAACGCGGTAGCTACTAGTAAGATGCCAGCCGCCAGGAAGTCCGGGTAGTGCGCCAGGAACGGTACCTGCCACGTGCCCACGTGGGTCTCGGTGAAGTTCTTTATTTTGTGGTTAAAGATAGAGTCCAGGTAACCGCTCCACGCCCTGGCCACCGCAGCTCCTCCAATCATGTACTCCAGCAGCACGTTCCAACCAATGAGGAAGGCCCAGATCTCACCGACAGACACGTAGGTGAACATGTAGGCAGAACCTGTCTTGGGTACCCGGGCCCCAAACTCAGCGTAGCAGAGCGCGGCCAGGAGCGAGGCGAAGCCAGCGATGATGAAGGAGACAATGACAGCAGGGCCAGCAATCTCCTTGGCTACGGTGCCCGTGAGGACATAGAGCCCAGAGCCCACCATGCCCCCAATGCCCAGCAGCGTCAAGTCGACGGTGGAGAGGCATCTGTTGAAGGACGTCTCCATCATGTCGTCCTCCAAGGTCTTCACTCGGTTGAGCTTCTGGCAGAAGCGGGTCAGGTCTGCAGAGCGAGGCAGCCATCTCGCCATCCCGGAGGCACAGGGCCCTGCCGGCTGGCAGGGCGAGGGCAAGCGCAGCAGCAAAGCCCTCGGGATGTCCCTGCCCAGAGACCTGGCGGCAAGGAGGAAGGTGTGAGCTGGACTGTTCGCATGAAGGACCCAAACGCCGGCTCAGAGCAATGCTCGGCTCAAGGACACTGTGAGAGGGACCAAGCCAGGCTGTCACCTGAGCCCAACCCTGCGGAGACTCCTCTATGCTGCCCTGTCTTCCACCGTCCTCATCCCACCCCTCAGCTGCTTCTGGAAAAGAGCCAGGCAGCCTGGAGAGCACAGTGAAACCCAATGGGGAGACGGCCTCAAAGCGCCGGGTCAGAAGTGATGGAGACCAGGCAAAAAAAACAAGTCACTGCAGCCCATTTCCCCAGGCTGAAACCCCACAGGTCTCAGTGTCCCTCTGTCCTCAGCAATCAGGTGTGGGGCTCCGGCTTGGACAGAGCCCATCCTCCCCGAGGCCGTCTGAGGCGGCCTACAAGGGCTCTCCTCCACCCAGCATCTCGCTGCTTCCATGGGGAAAACCCGGGCACAGAGGGCTGCAGCAGACAGCACGGACAGACCAGGCGCAGGGAATGCCAGAGCCGCTCCGGGGACAGCGTGGGCGTCCTTCGCCAGAACAGAAAACATGTGGAGCGCTCAGGCAGCAGCCAGGCACGGAGCGAGGGGCTGGTGGCGCGGGCGGTGCTGCCCCTCGTGCGCCAGGGCTGCAAATTGCGGCTGCTCCCAGGGAAAGCTCGAGGGCGCTCGAACAGGCTCTCCCATCCCCGCCACCCTCCTCTTCCTCCGCATCCCTATCCCGCTCTGGGGTGCATCTCCATGTACCTGCAGCCCCAGGCCGCAGGCTGCATGTGGAGGGCCCGGAGCCACCATGAGGGGCTGCATAGCAGGGGGCTCTGGCCGCCCAGCCCTCCCAGGACTGCAGCTGGGCTCCGAGGCCTGAAGGTTGCAGGAAGACCCCAGCCACCCTGGGGACCCCAGCACCCAGTGGCTACAGACACTGATCCACAGGGGAAAAGGCTTTGCCGCTGCCGGCTGCATTTACTAAGCGATGCAGGAGGAGAGCTGGGCCGCCCCCAGTGCTGCTCACAGCGATGCTTGCACCAACCCTGCGCATTTCGCCAAAACAAATAAATAAGGTTGTCAGTGGAAATATTTGTGTGCTTGACCCCAAGTCACCAAATCGCCCAAGAGTTTCAGCAGAAAAAGGGGAGGTGATGGACCTGCCTGCAGGAGACCTGAGCCCTCCTGCACCCGCCGGACTGAGCTCCGGCTTCGCTCTCCCCTCGCGCCAACGGTGCTGCCGGCACCGCGCGGGCTCCCCTGGACTGGGAGGCACCCCCAGAGCAGGACCGGGCACCCTGGCCGTCACTGAACAGCAGGTGCCCTTTGTGTGCGCGGATGTTTATCCAAGGTGGGGGCTGGTGGCAGGGCCTGGGCTCCGCAGGGTGCCTACGGGCAGAGCACCGGGGTCCCCGTACGGGCTGTGGATCCCCCCTGCTCCCGGCACGGCGCTTCGGCCTCCCGTTTTGCCACCCCCTCCGTTTGCTCCGTTGCCGGGAGAAGGGGGACGTGCAGATCCCGATGGGCTCGCGCTCCGCGGCACCCTTGGGGCGGCTCCCCCGGCCGCAGAGCGCCCGGGCGCCCCCGACGGCGCGGCCCGAGGGGAGGGGGTCGCGCCC